AAACAATATATTCGATGGATGGCTGTAATTTTTTCTAGTAATAACTCTTATAGGTCTTTTCTGTAAAATAAAAATAGGATTTGTGATAGTTTTACAAGCTTTAAACCAGACTTCAGTACAGTAAATTAAATGCGGAACAATTATAACGTTAAACAACATAAACAGTGATTTATTATTGAACAGTTCTCTTACTTTGTACAGGACTCCAATTGATTTGACCATTTTTATTCTTAAATTATTTATATGATGTTTCCATGTCAGTTTTTCATCAATAATGACACCTAAAAACTTCACTTCACTGACTCTACAGATCTCAAAATCATCAGTTTTAAATGAAACATCTATAGTTCGCTTATTGTTACAGAAAATCATATAATTAGTTTTATCCAAGTTTAATAATTTATTAAGTTGAAACCAACTTTGTATTTTCATAAATTCTGTCTGTTTCATGTCCAACATTTGTTCAATGTCATTACCAGAACAAAAGAATGTTGTATCATCGGCAAGTAGAACACACCTAAAAAGATCCGACCAAATCGTTCACATACAAAATAAATAACTTTGGTCCGAGAATGGAACCCTGAGGCACTCCACATGAGATGTTACCAAACTCAGATCTTACAGTATTTATTTCTACAAATTGTTTTCTATYTTCCAAATAACTAGATACCCACTGTAATACAGGTCCTCTAAAACCATATTTATTTAACTTTTCAAAAAGAATACTATGATTAATAGTATCAAACACTTTTTTAAAATCAACAAAAATACTGAGACAGTACTGTTTTGATCAACAGCAGTTGTTTTATGTTCTATTAATTCAATGAGAACCATTGATGTAGATTTTTTTGGTTTAAACCCAAACTGACTGTTAMTATATTCTGCTTATCAATGAATTTGTCCAATCTTAAAAAAGCTTTTCCCCAAAAAGAAAGAAAAGCAGTAAAAAAGACCAGATGTGTTTGTGGAAGTTTATTCATTTTGAATATATTATTATTATTTTAATGAATCAATATTTTCTGAAATTGGTGAGGAGGTAGGCCTGTAAAAACATTCAGCCAACCTGTCACC